TGTGTTTTATGTTGTTGCTATTGTTGTTGTTGTTGCGGTGGTGGTAGTAGAGGTAGTGGTGGTGGTGGGTGTGTTTATATATATGTGTGTGCAAGTGTAGGCTAGAGGTGAACCTTGGGTATCATTCACCAAGAGCTGTTCTCCTTGTATTTTAAGACAGCCCACTTGCTGGGGCATACTGAGTAGGCTAAATTGGGCTGTCTGTCTGTCTGTCTCTGCTTCCCAATACTAGAATTACAGGCACACACCACCATGTCTGGCCTGTTACATGGGTGCTGGGGATCGAACTCAGGTCCTCATTCTTGTGTGACATGCACATCACTGACTGAGCCATCTCCCCACCCCATCTTGTTTCTTTTTAGACCAAGGACACTCTGGTTCTTTTATTTATCACATCAGCATGGCCACCATATGCCCTTTATGCATTCAGCCCAACCCAGCAGTGCCGCCCAGGATTTGCTGGGGCTCCAGACTTCTCCCTCTGTTGGGAGTTGGGCTAAGCCATCATCCTAACTGTGGGGTGACTCAGTTTCCTTATTTCTTTGTGACTTTGTCCCAATGAATGAGAGGATCATGTAGGAGAGAGTAGCCTTCGGCTCAGAGTATATTAAAGTCAGTGAGTCAAGGACTCGTTGGCATCTCTTCCACCCATCTATCTTTGTTGTCCCAGCCTGGTTGCAGCAGCCACTTGGGAGTCCACAGGGAAGCCTTGTCTTTGGAAGAGTGACTGATTTTCAGGATGCTGTCTGATCCATGGATGGATTTTCTGATAAGTGTACCCCATCTTGATTTGGGGTTCAGCATATGGGTTCAGATTTTATCTCTGGTGCCCACCAGCTTTGACTCTTGGGAGAGTGAGGCCACATGCTGAGGCACGATTTCCTTCTCTGTAAGCAGGCTGGTACTAACTCTGATGCCTGCTCAGGCCACAGAGATGAGCTGTGAGATCCCAATGAAATCGTCCAGCCATGGCTGTGCCAGCCCTTTACATGTCCATGGAGGTACAGAGAAGCTGACTGCAAGAACTGGGCATGATCTCCTCCTCCTACAGCTTCCTATGCCCTTGACTCTGCTTCTTCCCAACCTTCCTCTTTCTCTGTCCAAGGACTAAAAAGTCTTTAGCCAAGTGATGCCCCCACAGTTTGAGTCCAGCCCTAAATGCAATGCAGGATGGGTTTGGTCCTCCTGCATATGGGGAGCCTATTTACAGTGTAGGAAAGGGTTGAGGCCCACTGGAGCTGGGCTTGCCAGATGGGATGAGATGAACAGGAACATGATGTAGCTGGCACTATCTCCTGACACCCCAAACTCTTATCTTCTTCCTCAATTTCCAGTTCTCTTTCGTGTGTATACATACATACATACATAGAGAGAGAGAGAGAGAGAGAGAGAGAGAGAGAGAGAGAGAGAGAGGGAGAGAGAGAGAGAATGCTTCAATCTCCCCAAGATAGAGGCAAGTGTGGGTGCCCTGTTCTTCGATATCTGGTGTGTGGCGTGGAGCTCTGCTGTCTCTGCAGAACCAGCATTATGGTTGCATGATTGACGAGCCTGGTTGTTCTCCCTTCTATTACAGCACATGTCAGCAAACAGTGGTGTGCAAACGCTGCATACCTTGTGTGAGGTAACCCAGAAGCGCATGTGTGGTCCAGGTCTGGAGTCCACAGTATTCCTGGAGCAGGCTTCCCTGTGCTCCAGCAGAAAGCATGGTTTCTGGACCAGAGGAGCCCGAAGGATGGCCTCAAGTGGGAAATGATAGCTGGTGCAACAAGAAAGGGCTGTAGAGCAGAGTGGAGCTGGCCTAGGTTCTAGAAAGGCTTGTGCAGTGCTGGGAACTGACCACAGGAGGGCAGGGCTGAGACTGGGAGAAGGGATGTGGTTGCGGGAGCCTTCACCCAGGGAAGGTGGGGAAATGAGATTCTGTACAGGACTGGATGCCTGACTAGATGTCAGGAGTGTGTGAGAGTGACCTCAAGGTCTTTCTGCTGTGATGGGGGAATTGCTCCAGGGGCCCCAGAAGTGACAATTGGGCACTGTACTGTGGCTGTGTGGTGCCTGGGGGTGCTTCTGCAGTTGGAAGAGTTGAGATACAGAGAGTGACTGCCAGGTAGGAGCTGGAGACAGAGTGTGGAGTTCCTGAAGCAATGAAAGGAAGGAGGAAGAAGGATTTGCCTACCTGGTGGCCCGGGACAGGGCATCTGTGGAGATGTTCAGGTATGAGACAGGACTTGGAAGAACCTGCAGAGGACCAAGACAGGCTAGAGCATGAGGCCACAGTTGCCCTAGAAATCCCATAGCAGTGGCCATAAAGGCTGTAGGGTTCTATGTGGGAGGTAGGCAAAGAACCTGAGCACATGGATGGGAGTAGCCATGTGGACACCCAGATGTGGGAGTCGGGTGGGTAAAATGGTGTGGAGATGGACATGAGCATTATTTAAGTCAGAGCTGGGGAGCTGTGTGGAGGGTGAGAAGGAAGCAGTTCTGGGAAAGAGAGCCACATTAAGGAGAAGCCTGGAAGCCAGAAAGAGACATCACGGTGACCTGGAAAAAGGGGATCCACTATGAGGTTATGAAAGGGACCAGAGTGAACCACAGGGAGGGGCCTGGTGACCCCAAGGAAGATAGAACTCAAGTAGAATTAGATCTGAGGGAGAAGCACACCCACTGGAGCCTGATCCAGGTAGATCATCCGGGACCTGTCATCTCTCCGTCTCCTTGCTGTCCAGAGATGTATCTACTTCCATGCTCCCTCCTGCCCCTCTGGGAGCCAGCTGATGGGGTATCAATTCATAAAGCCAATCTGAGCTCTGGGGTCCCACCTGGGCAGCAGCAGCAGCCACTGAGAAGTCTTCTACTCCCTTGACCCAGACCCAAACCCTAGAGCCATCTTCGACCCCCTCCCAACACCTTATTTATGCTGCTACCATGTGTCCAAGGGCCACAGTGCCACCTACCCAGTGCTTAGACATGACAGAGCCACTGCCTTTCCAAATGTCCTCTACCACCAAGCAAGGGGTCCTCAGAGACCTCATCTGTAGCCCTTTCTGCTGAACCCAGGGTTGTGAGTCTCAGCCTCTCCTGCTGCATCTGTCACCCGAGCCATTGATTGCTCCTGGCCCTTCCTGTGGCCAGGTTCCTTTCCCTGCCGTCCTGCCCAGAGCCACACCAGATCTTACAAGACCTTTGGGGGCCAAGGGGCTGCTTCCTACAGACTAGAAACCACAGCAGCCCTTGCCACTCCCAGAGCCCCACCCTACCTGGACACCTGTTTCTGCCTCTTTGCTGGGCAGTGTCCTCCCTTATTTCCTGGAGGCCCTGAGCTTGTTTGCTGGCTGGCTGGCTGGCTCATCACTGTACTCCCAGGAGAGAGCTCATGGCCCTCTGCAAAGAGATGCCGGGCTAAGCAGAACCAGGAGATATCCTGAGGATGCAGGCAGCTTCTGTCCTCAGCTTTCATGCCCCAGCTTATACCGGGTTGCCTTCTCCCTCTTTGGGTCCCTAGATGGTGTCACAGTCTCACGATGGACCACTGCAGGTGACAAACTTGGGCCCACATCATTCTTACTGTACATCACCTTTGTCATGATCTAATTTCTCAGTTCAGCTGCTCATTCTTTGTTCTATGCTGACCTAAGATCTAGGAAGAGACTGGGGGATCCTCCCTGACTGACCCCAGGGTGTTCTCAGCTGGCTCCATGAATAGGACAGATGGACAGAAGGGCAGTAAGGGGAATGCATGGACATGGATGCTGAGTTCCAGAGTGCAAGAATGTGCCCAGGGAGAGAAGCTGGCAGAGGCATGCCCCCTCCTACAGCTTTCTCAGAAAGCCACCTCCCCTGTGCTATTGGGGTACACTCAGGTGGTTTAAAAAATTCCTGTGAATCACTGTTGCTTGTATAGTGCCTAGAGACCCTCAAGAATGTTCTACTCTATCATACCCAGGGTTAGGGCTATGCCGGTGGAGGGGTGGCCTGGGCTTCGCAGTGGGTCCTGCAGACACATGCCTGGCAGCTGAGTGGAGGTTCTGGGGGCATGTTTCCCGGCTGTGAGGCGTGGAAAGTTCCACATGGCCCTGGCATGGGACCGGGCAAGGCTCTGCCTCAGCGGGCAAAAGGAGGGTGCTGTGTGCATACCTCCAGCGAGGCAGCCGTCCCCCATGCACAAGTCGCGTCTTGTTGACATTTCCATCCGTTTAATCACAGGCTCGGGGAGACTGTGGGAAACACCATCAGGATGGAGGTCTCCAGCGAGCACACAGGCTGGAGGGATGGCTGTCTCCACAGGGCCAGGCTGCTGCTGTCAGTCACTAATGCTGGGCAAGCTGAACCCAGGCTCAGACATGCCTACAGGAGAAGACAGGGGTTCCAGGTTTCTCACTCTTAGAAGAGTCCACATAGCTTTGGCTGGTGTTCTAGAAATCGGAGGACCCTGTCTCCCCATCCCTCAGTGTGGGCTCAGAGCAGAATGAGGGTGACACTTAGCCCAGGGTGAAGGAAAGAGGCCCAGGGGTGAACAGGTTCCCGAGGAATACTGAGACTCCATGGACGCAGATGTGGTCGCAGGGCCACAGCCCCCATACCTGTGCTGGATGGGTAAACGCTTCCTGGCTCCTACACAGAGTTACTGCCCTAGGAAGGGAGCAGAAGAGGCCATGGGACAGCAGAGCAAGTGCCCAGGGGTTGGGCCTTGCATTGAGGAAGTGGCATTGGAGCATGGAGTAATAGAGGCAACCCAGAGGGGCCCGAGAGACACGGCACATGGGGCTCTGGCAGCTAGCTCCTTTCTCCAATTCCTATCCCAGCTACCTCATGAGAAAGCTGTGGTGGGCCACAATGGCCCCGTCATCCACACACAGAGGCCAGAGTGATTTTCAGAGAGGAGGGAGGGAAAAGAGAAAGGAGGAAGGAGGGAGGGAGAGAAGAAGAAAAGGGCGTGGGGAGGGGAAAATGGACGGACCAAAAAGGGGAGGCAGGGAGAAAGGCAAGGAAGAAAGGAAGGGAGAAAAGGGGGAGGAAGGTAAGGAGAGAAGAAAGGAAGGAGGGAGGAAGTGATGGAGAGAGGAGGAAGGGAAGGAGGGAAGGAAGTGACGGAAAGAAGGGAGGAAGAGTGGAGGGGAGAAGGGAAGAAGGTAGAACCTAGACAAGGTCCTCTCCTACTGAGGCCACAGTGGACTTGGGTGGGGTTGTGAACCAGACTCTCCAGTTGTCCTGTGTGGTCTATGAAACAATGTTCCCCTCCATGCATAGCAAAACTTCGGGGAGCAGGGTAAGAACTCTGACCCGAAGGCTGCAGCTGCAGCTTGCTGCTGTGTATTGGGTCCTTGGCATCATCCCTGTGAGTCTGGCTGAGAAAGGAATTAGCTGGACCAGGTGGACTATCAGAGTAGCTGTGGGCTCAGCATGAGGCTGCAAGGAAAGAAGCATGAAGGAAGGTTCCTTCCCAAAAAGGCATGCTGAATCCAGGGTATGGAGATGCTTGGGTGCAAGGCATGTTGGATCCAGGACACAGAGATGCTTGAGTGCCCTTGGCAGACAGCCAAGCCCTTGACTGGAGGCTGTGGATCAGGGACTGATTGGTAACTTTGGTGTGTGGACTTTGGTTCTTTGTCTGTGGGGATCTGGAGGCTTCAGTGTGGGGTCCTCTGAAGCAAAGCAGCAGCAGAGCCTGGTGCCTATGCCTCTCTGAGATGGCCGAGTATGGAGGGAGCCTCGTCAGTATCCAACACTTCTGTGGCGTCGTGTGCCATCGTAATCTGTTCCTGTTTCTCTGTGTGTATTGACTTGTGAATTCCTCGGTATCATCACCTTACATCACCCCGGTGTAAACTGAGACAGAGCGGTCACGTGAAGATCTTGGGTTCTGTGTGAAGCAGGTGGGGAGACAGGAGATAACACCACCTTAGGTGTGTTACACAGATAAGGGGGAGGGGAAGCCCAGAACCCTGGGGCAGCTGGAGAGCACACTGGGCCTTCCAGGAGGTAGGACGCCTTGGCAGGCTGATCTTGTGGTGAGGAGATGGACAGCTTAGTCAGCCTGCACCCCTGGACCTCTGCATTTAAGCTTGACATCCAGTACATATGACAGGCAGGTTTTCTGTTGTTATTTTCATTAGAAAAAAAAAAAAACCCACCTTTCTGGAGAATATTGCGTGTGGAAGTATGTGCTCTTTGTGGCTAAGGAATGGGGGCAGCCAGTCCACCTCGGTGGTCCATCATGGTGTTCTGGGTTTGACAAAGGCTGTCATGGATGATGGCATCGGAAAGGAGAACGTAAGGAAGGTACTTGCTCCTAACCTTTAAAAAGATGTTCATTTCCCGTCTACATCTAAGAACAGATCACTTGAGATTGTTTATGGGTTTGAAACAGTTAAGATGTAAGATGGGAATCATTAAGGTGAAATCATAACATCCAAGTTTTACATGTGAGGGCAGGAGCTGGCAGCGGGAAGGCAAGAGCTTCCTTGTCTGGTCAGGACAGGTGACTGGTGGGGAAAGAGACAGATGGATGGGGGAGGCCCTGCCCTCACTCTAGCACTGAGCAGGAAGAGCCTGCCCCCCGACCCGCCCCAGGCACTGTCTGTGGCTCACAGGGACAGCAGTCGGCACACATGTGGACACTACCTCCAGAGGCTCCTGAAGGCCACGGATCTAGAAGTCTCTGACTGTGTTTAGGTCTGCGTGGGTATTTCAGGGTCTGTTTCCCTCAGCCAGAGTTTCTGAGCATCTCTTTCCATGACCAGGACACACCAAGAATGAGATCCCAGCTGCTATCTAGGAACAGAGAGTCTGTCCCGTGTGGAGCTTCATGGCCCTGCTCAGTCTTTGGTGCCAGCCTTGCTTCTTGTGGGCAGACAGCCTCTGCCCCTTCCTCACTGGGCCTCGTGCCAGTGGATTGGTGGTGATGTGCCAATACAAGGTGATGGAGCTGCTGAATTCCAGTGTCCTGGTGGTTGAGCCAGGGTTATTTCTCTTGAATAGCCATAGGGTCTTGTGCTCCCAGACCCCCACCCCCACAACCATGCTACAAGTAATGAATGGGTTTTGTTCCCACTATGCAGAAGAGAACATGGAGGCCCAGGGATGTGGAGCCATATCCTACCCCTCTCATGCTTCTGCTGCCCCTCCCCCACCCCTGGAACACAGTGCTCACCCTGGACCCATACTGTCAACCTAGCTTAGCCAGGAGAGAATGCTGGAGGATTGGATTGGCATTACCCACTTCTGTCTCTGCTCAGGGCAGACAAGAAACTCAGCTGCCTTCCAGCAGGAGCTTGGGGAGCTAGAGGCCAGGTGTGGGTGTCCTGTGCTCCGTGACCCTCTGCTATAGGGCAAGATCACCCACCCGCTGTCACCCCGGGGCATGAAGAGACTATGGGAGACAAGGTGTTAGAACCGATTTGAAGTCTGAGCCCAAGGAAAGAGGGCAGAGGCACTGCTTCCAGCAGGGGTGCCTGGGAGGCCTCCAGCAGACCTATATGCAGGGACCAAGAAGAGACTCTGAGACTGAGGAAATGGGAGACTCTTTGGAGAAAGCCTGGCCTTCTCTGTAGAAGATAGGGCTCACAGGGACCCCATCTGCCTGAGCTCAGGACAGGTCTTACTCTCAAGTGCCCTGGGGGTTTGCTGGATGATCCCAGTCCCTCTGGACAAAGTCTAGGGTGTGACACATGGCCCTGGGGGTGGGGCTGTGTTCTCCTCAAACCCCCATGGCCATTGGAGCTATTGTCCCCACCCCGATGTTGGGGTTTCCCATGGAGGCTTGTCCACTAGTAGCCTGGACACTGGAGGAAAGGCCACCCGCTGACTCCATGACTCCCTCATTCCTCAGGGCCTCCTCAGGTCACGCCCAGGCACCCCACATGCACATGTAGGCACATGTGGGCCGCCGCAGGCCGGGCATGTCCTAATTAGCCCACTATCTTGGAGTTCTCATTGAAAGCAAAACAAACCAAAAAAGTTCGGGTTTTGCCCAGATTCTTCCCTGAGGCCAAGTGGGCCTTGTCTGGGCTTCCGGGGGTGGGGGGGTGGCCTCTGAGCCTGGAGGACCCCTGGGATTCTGTATGGACCTGCTTAGGCCTCTCTGACAAGACTCCTCATTTCAGCAGCCTGACTGGAGGCAGAAGTAGGGGGCCAGACTGAGCCCCGCAGCCTGGCAATGAGGAAACAGAAGAGGTTCCTTCACCTGAGCCTCAGAGGGAGGAGGCAAAGCAATACAGAAGATCTCCTATGCTTTCCAGTCAGTGAGAGCCTTGCCATCTTTGGGAGGCATGATAGACACCAAGACCAGACTGAGCAAGTGGGAGGTGTCCCTAGGAAGGCAAGAAAAGAGCAGGCAGGGGAGGGCCAGCATTCACTGGACACGTGGGCAGGCTGGTCTCCTGGCCAGCCCAGTGCCCCAGCTTCTGTGACAGGGCCTTGGGTTTGCCATGCCAGCCAGGTTCTGCACTCCAGTGCTGAAGGCCTGCTTTCTGGAAGCGCCCAGTCTCTCCTGCAGAAACACTCCCCACAGATGCTATCACTGTTCCTTTTGGTTCAATGACTAAGTCCTTGGCACCCACCTCCAATCATTGAAGAATGCAGACAAGTTAAAATATGAACCTCATTGCCATGGGCCTGTACCCTGCTTCTGAGCAGGAGAGGCAGGGCTCCTTGCCCATCAGGGATGGGGCAGAAATTGGGCATGGAAAGGCTGCTACTGCCTGCTGCCACTGCCATGACCTCCCTTCCCAAAGCTCCTCACTGGGAAGACATTGAACCCAAGGCTGCAGGAAGGAGGTGTTCCTGCTGTCCCATCCTGGATCGGAAACATAACAAGGGAAATCCCTTCCCTGAGGTTCAGGCATCCCCTGGAAGGCAGGGAATGTGAGATACAACCATGGTTCATCTGTCCTCATTCCTAAACAGCCACACCAGAGAGAGCAGTCTTCCTGACCACCACTCAGATGTGTTGTGCCATCACCAGACTTACAACCATGCTGTCACATTGCCTCACTCATTTATTCATTCCTCTGCTGCTTTGTTTGGACAGAAAATGCTTTAAGCAGCCATTCTGAAATACATGCCACTCAGGGAACACAGGGACCCTGTGTCTGTGGGCTCCTTTGTGTCTATGGCATCCTCTGCGTCTATGTGACTCTCAGTGTTTATGATATGTATACTGTGGGCTCCTGGGTCTACTGAGCCATCTGTCTGTGTGTTCTTCTATGTCCGTGGGGTTGCCTGAGTCTGTTAAATCCTGTGTCTGTGGGGACCCATGTCTGTATGTTCTGCGTCCTCAAATTCTAATGAGTGGGGATCCAAAAATATTTGGAAAAATTGCATTTATACTGAACATGTACAGACATGATTCTCTTCATCTCTTGAGCAGTGCAGTCTAGTGACTACACAGCAGACAGTGTTGGTTTTGTGAGCCAGCTAGGGGATGTGTGTAGGCTCTGTAGAAATGCTATGCCGTTGTCTGTAAAGGGCTTTCTGTAAGGGTGTCCATGGGGTTCCTGGGCCTGATTGCTCATGAGCACTGAGGGACAAGTGTAGAATGTGAACCATGTGTGGAATTCTGAACTTCAATAGCTGCGTTCACATGGTGAAAAGAGGGCCAGAGTTGTGGCTATGTGTGAAATCTGGGTCCAATGCCCAGGACAGCAACATAAACCAGATGAAAGGAATTGGTGAATGTAATCAATAATTACTCCTGCCAACCTAGGGTCATTTCAACGTTTGACCCTGAAACTAGGAGTGGGTGTTAGACCTTCTTTCTGTGACATAGAGTCCTCCCTTGCAGTTGGGACACTTTTCTTCACATGTTCAGACCCTTTGTAACCACTGGTTCAACTCACAGGACTATGTAGGTCCTCAGATACTCACAGTTCAGTAAGGGGCATAGTAGTGACACCTTCCAGTGGAGGACATTAGGACAGGACAAAGGTCAGGGCTTGGAGGTGCTCTGGCTGCTGTAGCCATACTCTGATCTCCAGGCAAGCTTTATTTGTTAGAGCACAAATAAAATATCACCACATATATAAGACAAGATTCCAGGTTGAGGCCTCTCTGAAGAGGGCAGCAGGGTAAAGTGGGGGCACTTTGCACTATGATCACATTTCTTCACCATCTCACCAGTTTCTGCTATGTTGTGGCCAACTGGGGCAAATCATTTCCCCCTGGGAGTTCAACTCACAGGACTATGTAGGTCCTCAGATACTCACAGTTCAGTAAGGGGCATAGTAGTGACACCTTCCAGTGGAGGACATTAGGACAGGACAAAGGTCAGGGCTTGGAGGTGCTCTGGCTGCTGTAGCCATACTCTGATCTCCAGGCAAGCTTTATTTGTTAGAGCACAAATAAAATATCACCACATATATAAGACAAGATTCCAGGTTGAGGCCTCTCTGAAGAGGGCAACAGGGTAAAGTGGGGGCACTTTGCACTATGATCACATTTCTTCACCATCTAACCAGTTTCTGCTATGTTGTGGCCAACTGGGGCAAATCATTTCCCCCTGGGAGTCTTGGGGTCCTCATCCGTGAAGTGGAACAAAAAGGCAGTACCCACCTTAGGCCTGCAGAAGTCCAGCTGAGTTTGCAGGAAAGATCACCAGCACAGAGAGGATCAGTTAAGCAACTCAGGGACCCACACTGGCATTGGTACTGTCTTCCCAAATCCTTCCTGCTTGATGCCTTCGGATGTAGACTGGGTAATCCTCAGGTTGATACCTGTTGAGACACCCATGGCGGGGAGGTGGGGCCTCTCTAAAGTTCCTGGGACAGTGGGGTCCCAAGGATGGTGAAGGAGGGACTCACTGAGTTGATTTGGAGGAAGGACTGGGCTGTTGGGCTTTCCTAGAGAACCAGCAAGGATGCTTGGAGGAGCTGCCAACCCTGGAGGAATGGGGAAGTCATTGTAATGGAGATAAAGCCAACAGCTTAAAGACATTCCTTTGAAAGCGACTGTTGGGACCTCTGGGGACTGATGGCAGCCTGACCTCTGTCCCTCACTCTGAGAGCTGGACCTAGGAGTCACATCTGACCTGAGCTTCAGGGCACCCATGCTCCAGAACCCAGTGTCTCCCCACCCCACCCTTGCTGCCAGGCTACGGGCCTTCAGGACTTTGATCTGTGTGGTACTCCAGCTCCTATGCTGTCCTGGAATGTAGTGGAGCCCACAGGGGGCTTGGGTTGGGAACCTTCCCAGCCAAATAGCTCGCCTCCAGGTAGGTGTGCGAAGCCCCAGTCCACCTTGCTGGCACCTGGGTGGATCCCCAGAAGCCCTGGCACCCAGGAGGCAGACGGAGAGGGGCAGGCAGGAGAGGTGAATGTGCGTTTATCCCAACACAAGTAGTGGCCTGTTGGGGTGGGGTGGGGGCCCCAGGAAATATTTGGGATGACTTGGAGCCGGCTGGCCCTTTAAGGCTCCTGTAATAAGACACCTCCCCAACGGGACAGGAGCCTGAGCTGGGGCTTCCACCTTAGCCCTTGTTTCTCCCCTCCCTCCTCCCCCTTCCTTGCCAGGCCCAGTTCAATTTGCTCAGCAGCGCCATGGACCAGATGGGCAGCCGCGCGGCCCCGGCCAGCCCCTACACCCCAGAGCACGCTGCCAGCGCACCCACCCACTCGCCCTACGCGCAGCCCAGCTCCACTTTCGACACCATGTCTCCAGCGCCTGTCATCCCTTCCAACACGGACTACCCTGGCCCCCACCACTTTGAGGTCACCTTCCAGCAGTCGAGCACAGCCAAGTCAGCCACCTGGACGGTGAGTAGCCGCGTTGTCCGCGGACGTCCGGAGGGAGGGCAGTGGGGTAGAATGCCACGGTCCTGACACTGAGGTCTGTCTGAGCACACATGCTGTCCACATGGAATTTCCTGCTGGCCAGGGCCAGGAGGAGCATCAAGCAGGAGGCGGGACCTAGGGCTGGGCAGTGTGGGTGTGCCCACCCCTCGAATGGACGTGTGACCAAGTCAGCCAGCCTCCCACAGGTCCAGAAAGGTTGGGAGTGTTGCAATCAATGAGGTTCATGGGGCAGGGAGAATGGCCGGCTTTTTTTTTTGTGTGTGTGTGTGTGTGCTCAGTGCCTTGAAATCTATCCTGAGCAGAGTCCTGAACCTCTGCTGAGTCTTGGGGGCCCACAGAGGGCCTTGGAGGCTGCCTCCCCCAGGTGGTGTGGCCGCTTGCTGGTTGTGGATTTGGGCTTTGCTCTGACATCTCTGCATTGGCTTGGGGCTTGACCTCCAGGGGTGTGAGCACAGTGCTGGGAGCTCTGGTCCTTTCTCTAGTACCTCTTGGAACAGTCTGGCTTGTGGCTGGGAATTAGCTGATGTCGACAAAAATCCCCCCTGCACACTTGCTGGGAGTTGGGTAGCCAGCTAAGTGCTTTGACTCACCCAAGGTGGAGTCTGTTCTCGTCCATCCCCATTGCACAGCCAGGGAAGCTGAGGTGTGAGAAGGGAAAGCAAACTGCTCAGAGCTATGCAGCTAGTAAGGAGGTGCCGGGCTTAGGACACGGTGGTCACTGCCATGAGCCTTCTTAACCAGAGCATCCAGGCTGTCTCCAGGAGTAAGGGCTGCAGGAGGAGCAGAGTAAGGCTTCGGGGACGATGTCTAGAAGTGCAGGGTGTACAGGGCATTGGGTCAGAAGGGTAGTCTCAGAGTCTTCCAGCTGGGCACAGGGACCCCTGCACCATCTGGGATGATAGGAGGTGCACTGAGGGATACTGGGTCAGCTACTGAGCAGCATCTTCATCATCCATCCTCTCTAGGGAACAGCTGGAGCTAGGGCTGGAGCATCCTCTGCTGTGTAAGCTCTGTCTCACCTCTTCTAAACAGGAGCAACCCCCTCCCCAAGGCTCCTCTCCAAACCCTAAGTCCCACTGTTGTGGCTTTCACAGTCTCCCTGGAGACTGAAGGGCTGGACAGAGCCACCCTGCATGTGGCCACAGACGATCAGTCTGCTTGGCCTGGGTTGGCTACTGTTCATGGTGGGCTCCCCAGCTTCTGGCCTGTGGTTAAGTGATGGTTCAGCCCAACCGCTGGAGCTCTGATGGGCTGCCATGGGCCAAGAGGGGCTGGGTGACTATAGACAGCATTTTCCCCGAGTTACTCTAGGCCCATGTGCTCCATTCTCCCCAACCACAAACCATTGCTGACTGAGGGATGGCGATAAGGGTCTGAATGAGATGGAGCTGGAATAGTACACAGCTCTCCCTCTTGTCTTGGGGCAGTGGACATTAGGGAGCCATCCAGCATGGCCTCCTGAAGTTGGCCTTTCTATAGAACTACCCTGCTGAAGGTCTCTTCTTCTATACTGTCTGTAGCTGGGGCAGGGTGAGGAGGTGGACCCTAGACTCTTCCTCCACCCCAGCTGAGTGACCTGGGGTCAGGTCAGGAAGCCCAGGAGACACATGGGTAGCTCCAGTGATAAGGGGCTCTCTACACTGCCCTTCCAAACGCATTCCCCAAGTCTGTCTCCCCCTCTTAGGGTGACCTGGCCAGTCATAAAGGTCTGGTGGTGTCTGGAGGAAGTCCCCTAAATCCTGGGAACGATGTAGCTTGTGGCGTTGCCTCCTTTCATCTGTTTTCTTGAGGATGTTGATGGGGTCAGTCTCTGCCATGTCTGAGGGTTCAGGATACCTCAGATGGTCAGCATTGGTCTTCGAGAGGGGCAGGCACTGCCCTCTCTGTTGGCTTCCTCCTTCCACTTGGGGCCTCTGCAACCCCTTCTGAGGTATTTGGCATCAAGCCTTCCATAATGGTTTGTTTCCTGCTGCCCTGCGTTATCTGTCCTCATGGGGTAGTTCCTGGCTGGCTAGACATACCAGGGGGCACGGTAGGCTTGGCCCCCCGACCCAACCTTCACCCAATGCCAGGGCAGCAGATCTGAGCTGTCGAGCAAGAGGATGGATGCTCTTTCCCGCCCCCTCCCAGCCCTGCCACACAGGGGGTGGAGGTGGGACCAACATTGATAATGAGATTTTTGGCACCTCAGCGATCTGGGAGCAGACACCCAAGGGCTTTTCTCGATGCCTAGGGAAGGGGCTGGCAGCGGCTGCTCTCAGCTCTGGGGGTCCATCTGTGTGAGCGCTGCCCAGACTTGCCACCTAGGCTTCTGCACCTAGGCCCCTGCCGCACCACTGGCTGGTAACTGATAGATAATTCATATTTTTCTCAAGTACAATTCCATATTGACTGCTGCCTTCATTTCTCTCAGATTGGCAAAAACACCCTCACTGGCCTCCAAGTGACCACAGCTGTTAACGGGGCCTTTGGCCTTGGCATTGCTGAAGCCGCTTTGGGCCTTTCCAGCCCCAGAGGATCTGTTTGCCCTAATCAGCTTCCCTCAGCCTGAGAATCTGCTTGTGCAATAAGGGGTCTGGGCCCTCAGTTTGTGTTCTTGTATGAACGTATACACACTGTATACATGTGCGCAGAGTTCCACAGGCGTGGACACCTAGGTACACAGATGTGTGTAGTGCATGCACATATATCTATGATCACACAAGGATGTAAACATACATGTGCTCAGGGACAGATCTATGTGGATACACAGATGTACACACATACACCAGTAAACACACAGAATGCCAACAAATGTGGATGAGCATGTGAGCACACATGCCAGCCTCCCTGGTTGCTGCCTTGGGTTCTGACAGCCCCTTTCCTCAGAAAAGGTTGAGCAGCAAGTGGACTGGACAGAAGAGGCTTTGTGTTTGTGTGAGATTGTCAACAGCTGGTCTCAGGAGTCCCTCAGCAGAGGAGGAGGTGGGACAAGTTCCTTTACACACCCAAACAGCGTGATGAGATGGGAGTCCGGCTGCTGTCCAGCCCTGGTGCAACCTCTTCACGCTGGCTTTCTCCTGAGAGAGGTGGCTGTCTTCAGTACTGCAGACACTTAGAGACAGGGCTCTGAAGTTAGGCAAGAAGGCCCCTGTGGATGGTCACTCTGGCCGGGTATGGTGTCTGTAGAGCCCCAGGGGAACGCTGTGACACAGCCAGCTTGCTACAGAGGAGGCCAATAGTGAGGGCATGTTCATGGATGGCTTGACTGGCCTGGGAGCATCATGGATGAACAGATAGATGACTTAGACATGGCCCCAAGTAACCTTCAGCTGCCCTCAGCCTTCGTGTGTGTGTGTGTGTGTGTGTGTGTGTGTGTGTGTGTGTGTGTGTGTGTGTGTGTCTGTTTGTCTGTCTGTCTGTCTGTCTGTCTGCCTATCTTGAGAAAGAGCTGCTACCCACCCGCCCGCCAGCCCCTGGCGGGAAGCACAAAGCCTCTGTGAGGGATTCCTGGGGAGGATGGGGCTGAGTCAACACTAATGGATTTGGAACAAACTTTCCAGCCCCTCGGAGGTTTGCAAAGCAGAAGAATAGAGGAGGTGTCCCAACATGATTGTGGTATCAATTGCGTTATCCTAAAAGTTTATGGAATGCATAAATGGAATTAATACCTTTTACTGGCACCGGGAGCAATTATGTATATTTAAAGCCTAGAGAAGGGTTCTAACAATGTTTATTGTGGAGATGAAACGTGAATTATTAGGGGAAACAAGAGCACTTAGAGAGGAATTACAGCAATTGCTCATATTGTGTGTAGCTTTGCAGAAGACGGGCTCCCGGTAGGCTGGCCCTGGGTCTGTGCTGGGTACCTGCAGAAGAAATGAGTCTCTGCTCCCCTTTCCACTGATGTCCAGAAGGACTTTATTCCCCAGTGAGCACAGAATCTAGCCTGGAGACTCTGAACCCCTGGATCCAAGTGCAGCTAGACACTGGCAATCTGGTCCCAGCGACTAAGGATGCTCCCCACCTGAGTAGTCACACCACAGATCTCCAGAGTTCTAGTAGGGGCAAGGAAACAGGGCACCTTGTGGGATAGGACTCTACCCCATGTTGCCATGGAGGACTGAGTTCTGATTCATATATTGCAAAGAACCATCCATTTTTTTTGGAGACTCATCTGTGTGGACTGGGAGTGTGGTTCCTGGTTCACTCCCTTGTTCTCTCCACTCAGGCAAGCTGGTGTGACCCTGGAAGGCCTAGAGCTGATACTTCCAAAGACTCTCTCACATCAGCTCATGCCGCACTGAGGAGAACTTTATGGGAGAATGGATAGGGACCTGATCTGACAGAGGTTGTGAAAGGCTCCCTGTTTCCTGGGCTCTAGGCAGCTGATACAGCTGTGGCGTCTCAGGACCCCTGGTGCCATCCCTCAGCTTGCAGTAGATGCATGTACCTCCTTTCCCACATTACAGATGAGAAACTCAGGGCGGATCCAGGGCAGGTCACAGATCAGCAAAGGGCAGAGGCAGGATGGTAACCCAGTGGCATATCCTAGGAGTCTGTGGAACTCTCTCTGCCCACCCACTGCTCCAAGTCCTCCAGGGGTGGTTCTGGGACCTCAGGAGCTCTGTGGACAATCGTAAGGAGGCTTTGACACTCAGGGGCCTGCCTGCTTGCCTCAAAGAAGGGAGCTTGGCTTGCTCTTTATCACCATGCTCTTTATCAAGGTGATAAAGAGCATGATCACACAAGGATGTAAACATACATGTGCTCAGGGACCGATCTATGTGGATACACAGATGTACACACACAGCATGGCTCCCCATGCTGGACAAGCTAAGCTGTTAATCTTACAGTTTCTGTCATCACTCATGCTGACAGAAAGACACATTATCTGCCCACCATCTACCCTGGAGGATTCTTAAGTGCTTTCTGGTTAGAATGTTGTAGGGTTGACCACCCTCCAAGGTGAGTAAGCCAGCCAGGCCTGTGGACCACCCCTCCTGCCTTTCTCCACTGGTGATCCACGATACACGCCCTGCTGAACCTGCCCGTTGTACCTCAGGTCTCCCAACACACTCTACAGC